ATTAGGTGGGCAAGCAGTTTTAATTTAATAACATAACATAACATAACATCACGCCTTTTATCCTCAAAGGGGTAGGCAGAGGTGCACATTATACCACTGTACAATGTAACACCCACTTTTCACTATTTATGTTATGAGTCCCATGTAATAGGGGGTGAGCCTATTGCCATATACCGGGCACAGTTCCAGACTCCGTGCTACTACTTTAATTTAATCTAACTTCGAATGTAGAAATATGTGAAGTCCAGAAAAAGAAAGACAAATAAGTTTTAAGTATTATTTTTATTTCGCTTCCAAATTAAATTATTTTACAATATTTGTCGATTTTATTTGCATATAAAATGTCTAATAGTGCAGTAGACATTTTATAAGACTTTTGTTGTTTGTGGATCGCTGTTTTATATTTTGAAGCGTCCTTTAAGCTCGATTGAGAAGTAATCATCGCGTGAATGTTCCATTATCCGTGGATATTTAGATTTTACACAATCTCTTAATAAAACATTCGTTCTGTGTTCAATGCATGTTACAAAGCGTTTAATGAAAAAGTAATGCACTTAATTTATATTGATCTAATGCGCAAACTACATTCTAAATCAATTAGGTATGCGAAAATTCCTATTATTTGTATTTTCACAAAAATATTCATAAATAGATATATAGAATACAAGACATAATCTTTCTCTCAATCAGTCCCAAATACCAATTCCAAAAATGTATTTGTTATTCACAACTCTTTTAAGATAAAATACTTTTTAATTCTTTACACTCTTCCAATCTATTACTTACAGAATAGAGAAGCAACAGAATAACAAAATGTAAGAATATTATTGTTTTAATTCAGAAAAAATATATTACTTAACTGTCAAATTGTACTAACATTTGCTTCCAAAAAAAGTTATGGATTACATTTATTTTATTAAAAATCTACATTAATAATTCAAAATATTAAATATTTAGTAGATAAATATATTAAACAGGTATATAAATTTTTAAAACATTACATTTTACTATTATAAAAAGTTTTTTTAAATGACGTAGGACGAATATTTAGCTGTGGAATGGATATTAGGTAGGTGTAGGTATATATATTATACTATCAATACATAGGGCAGTATACGTCACATTTGTTTTGATATTAGTAGAAAAACATAACATAACATAGCAACACGCCTTTTATCCTCGAAGGTGTAGGCAGAAGTGAACATTAAACTGTCTTAGTAGAAGAACTCTATACATATAAATAAATATGAATTTCCGTTCGTTAGTCTCGCTAAAACTCGAGAACGGCTGAACCGATTAGGCTAATTTCGGTTTTGAAATGTTCGTGGAAGTCCAGGGAAGGTTTAAAGGTGAGAAATAAGTCGGGAAAAAAGGTTTGAGGGGATACGGAGTTTGCCTGGTCAGCTAGTAAGTATATAAAAATTATAGACGCCTTAAAATAGTCAGTATTGAGGGTTAAGATTAACCCTTGGGTAGGTAGGTTGGGTAGGTTTCTGACAGAAAAATTAATGGTTTCTAAATAAACTGCAATTAGATATCACATTAGAATTATGAAGTTATCCATTCAGATTGGTCCATGGTAACACTATCTCTGTCCCTTTCGCTCTATTACTTGTAGTGTGTGCTAGACAAAGACAGTAAGATCTGATCAACACTTGCAAAAGTTCCAGCTAAATATTCGTCGTATGTGTGTGCTTATCTACTAAATGGGCAGTGTAGGGGTACAATAAAAACGCATGCGTGGAATTACAATTTACTGCTACATTTTATTATTATTGGACAAGGGACTTATTGTTATAATGATTTTATTCATGTATTTAATAGGTTTAAAGCGTAAATAGTAATGACAAAATGAAACTATAACTTGAAGTTATAATAATTTTATGAAAAAAATTGATTTTTAATATTTCTCAGGATTATATGAACTACAAGATATTCACTGTTGAACATAGGAGTCCCCTAATGACTTCCAGACAGGCCTATTGACGACCTAGGACCTTTAGCAGGTCGCTTGATCACCTTCTAGAATGTAAAAATTCTTTTTCTAAATATGTGCCATTTTCTTTGCACTTCAGTGTACCTTTTGTCATTACTATTTACACTTAGGGCCAAATAAACTTGACCCTAATCGAGCTAAATAAAATTCCTGATTTTTAATTCCAATATCAAATAATATAAATACATAATTCACATCAAAAGGAGTAGGTACATAAGTTAAATAAAAAGTTAAGCTTAGCTTTTTAAATACAAACTCCTTTGAACGATTTTCTATGTGTTATGATTTAGTAAATTATATTATTTTTTATACATATTAATAATATATTTTAAAAATAAATTTTTCTGAACATTTTTTTTAATAGCACCTGCGCAGGTAATGAGCAAGAGAGCTTAACTATATAGTCTTTAAAGCTTTGTCTCTACGCAACAAATGATAGCCGATGTAAAATCTACCATAATTTAAATGTGACAAAGTTGAAAGTCACTTAAAAATCGTAGCATTAATAGGGCCTCAAGAGAGTGATATTTTCTATGTCTATGGTCCAGCCATTACTAAATCAATTTTTAAAAAAGAACATTTTAGGTGATATTTGTGAAGCTATTATCTCACTCACCTATAGAACACAAAATAGAAGCTTTTAAATCATTATTTGGTTGCACATTAATCTTTTTAATGACGTGTTATACGCGGGTGTGGCTTTCGACAGTTAATTAAAAAAAATTGGTGTTTCAAAATCAAATATTTATTTATGTTGCATACGAAAATCAACCATGCATCACGCAGTAAACTGTAGCTTACGAAACATAAGAGTTTGTTTGTTTGAACGCGCTAATCTCCGAAACTACAGGACCGATTTGAAAAATTATCGAGGAATCATTCCATCAAGGCATTTATCGAGGAAGGCTATAAAATATCACGCTACGGTTAACAGGAGCCGAGCAGAGCGAGTGAAACCACGCGGGAGTAGCTAGTGCCAAATAACGTCACAGTCCACTACCATTTGTTGCCCAGTAAACGATGGTTAATAAAAAGATTTTTGCAAATAAAAAAGAGTATAAAACATTGGTCCGAACTACGCACTTAAATAAAACCAATACGACTAGCAGTGCGTTGTACTGAAACGATTAGAGTATAATACAAATTACGTCACACCTTGAGATACTACTACTGTCAAACTGCGATGTCCGTTTGACATTGACATACGTGTCAAAATGCCTGTAAAATTTTGTATCTGGCATTTATTTTATTTTTGTAATTTTTTGTCCTTTTTTCAGGTCATAATGCAGTATGGATCATGATTTTATAGATCAACAAGATTCATGATTTTAACAACCGTTTGTATCGTGTATAGCTTTTGATATCTTGCTCAGTCAGTCCCCAAGCGGTCACTGATGACTTGGGCTCTCCACTTACTCCATTATAGACCTTATTTCCGATGTTTAGAGACTACTTTTGTATGAACAAATGTTGTGGATTTTTCATAATTGTGGATTAAGAAGTTAAGTATTACTTTAGTTGCTTACATGGGATTTCACAAAGCTTTTCGTTTCCAACATGACACATTTTCTTGACACTTCAATCGTGTGACATAATTTATAGATGACCCTTTAAATGTATGAAAAATTAAACTAAGAAACTAAGTTAATTGTATTAAACTGTATAAGTAATAAAATTAATTAATGATTATTAGAATAATATTATACATGATTTTACCATACACTTCCGTCGGTTAAATTTTAAAGAGAATAATCTTTTAACAATCGCATGGCGACATTTTACAAATTTTAAATTTTTCCAATAACTAACAATTCCGATAAGTCAATATATTTTTGTCTTTAGATTTATTCACCTCATAACATCACACTTTTAACTCCCAGAAGGGGAAGACAGAGGTCAAATTCAATCAGTAATTTGTACAAGATGACCTCTGCAAAATTTACTAATTAACACATTAAACGCCATGGGGGTCTCCGGTGACGTTGACCGACGATAGCAGAGGAATTGCCTTCATCAGTTTTTTATTGGCAGTCAAAGCCTTAATAAATTATAAGATTACAATTTTTACTAACTTCTTTATAATTACAGTCAGCCACATTATTTGGTACACGGTATAGAAAATTAAAATTGTATGCTCTTTAAGCACGCCATATCTTTGTAGCTAATAGTCGGCTCGGTAGCCAACCAATATCTCTACTTGCATAACAAATATTGTGGCTGATAGTACATGCATACAATAGTCTCTTTTTCTATGGGACATCCAGCCGAATCGGGTTAAATAAAACCTCATTTAATTCAAAAAAGGAGAAAGCTAAAAGTCCTTTAAAAAACGGTTAAAAAAGACAACCAAGAAGAATAACCTATATTATATTAAACTCATAACTATGAACAAACCTAAAGACTTAAAAAGTAAAATTGTGATGTACCACCGATTTATTAACAATGATTTGTTCTGTTGTGACATTATAAAGATAATAATGTTGATTAGAACTTATAATGGGATACTCACCATGTCCTTTTGTTTCTGATTGTGCCGGCTACTTAGATGCCCAGAAATGTATCATGACTAACCCAAAAATAAATTTGGTTTCAGCCAGGTGCGACTTGTATCTCCATTTCTACTTTCAAGTCCAGCGGTTATTATGACGTCCTAAAGTCCGAATGGTTCCATTGAAGGAAAGAAACAGAGTTATACAAGTCGTCTATTGAGATCTCGTTCCCTCAACGGAACCGACGGAACTAGCTGACGTCATAACACGCCACCAGGACAAATATTTTCGTGATTTTTCTATTACACGCGTATAACATCCACAAATTAGTGTTGCTGGTCTCGGTGTGATGTGCATATGAATATTTATGTTTGTCAACGTATCCACGACACAGAAGCAAATGCTAGGGGCAATATTTGAAAAAAAAAAACATGACAAATATCCCATTTTAAACCCTAACTATTAGTGACTATGTCAGTTTAGTAACTTATTCTATCTATTATCATGACGTGTTGTTATTCTTCCGAAGTCTTGGGCAGTTCAGGTCGGTTGCCGACACCGCCGGCGAGGTCGAATACTGCTTGACATACTTCCGCTGCTAATGTGTCTGCCTCCTGGAGGGAAAAGGTTTTATGTAAGTGTTTGTTGCAAATTATTTTGAAATCGTATTATTTGATCACGATTCCACCCCAAGCTCTTTGGTCGTATCGTGGTCTTTAGAAATGGTATAAAGGCTTTAAAAATAAAAAATAGATCAAATGAGTTAAAATTTTATGGCATTGTGTTGTAGTTAGTCACTAGCAGTAGGTTAAGGAAAGTATTATTGGGGTATTTGGATTTCTCAGTAGTAGAAGTAGAAACACATGCTATGGAGCTAATGCCTAACATATAAAATTTCTATCAACTTTTTGTACAATAAACTGTCAGGCACAAATATTTAAAATCACAATAAAACTTACCAATTGGCTCTCAGCCTCTGCATAGATTCTGACAATATCCTCAGTCCCGGAAGGCCTGGCGAAGGCCCGACCACTCGGGTACTTGGCCACCAGCTCGTTGATACGTTGCTGTAGACCTTCGGGACTAGTGCACTGACGTTCCGCGTCAGTTGTCTGAATGGCGTTACGGTCCTGGAAAAGATATCGGGAGTTTTATTATCTGTATATTCATAAAATAATTAATTAAATATAAGTGTACACATACTGCATTAATGGTCTTCGTAAAAAGTTTGTATGCAAGAAAAAAATTGGCGAATGGGCCAAAGAATTGATTTTGTTTCTTTTTCCGTCTCCTTTGATATTGTTAATTAATCCACGCAATCATGAGGATTGCGGTGAAATACTAGACCTTCATTGTTATGTTTTTGGTTGTTTTGATTTATTTTTGGAGTAGGTTTACTGGCATGAATTTAATAGTTTTTTTACCCATACATTTATATTGGTTTAAAAAATGTTCTTCGCTGGCAATTTCGTTATCAACTTCTCAACCGGGCTTAAAATAGAGTTATACATTTAATTTTGCTATCCAGGGCGTCCCATCTTCTTACTAAACGCCACAAATCAAATATCAATAGCAACTTACCGCGACAGTAACTTTGAGTTGCCTACAAGGCAGGTCCCTGTATATCTGCATCCACTGCACGGCGGAGATGCCTCGCGCACAGAGTACAGTCTCCACCAGGAGTAGGTCCGATATCGCATCGCCCACTGTTTCGTTCGTCATCTCTATGAATTGGTTTAGTAATTTTGCTGCTTCGCGTGGTTCTGGGTCTCTGGAATTGAAGAACATAGTTTTAAAATAGATATACCATATTTGTTTAAACCCTATTTCTTACTTCGGGTAGTAAGAACGGATTAACGGATCCGAATCCGAAATTAGTGGATTTTGGCCACTATCGATTTAATTCAAGGTCTCTAACCGCTGATTTCAATTCAAAATCATTAGATTGAGATCAATTATTTATATTTATTTACTTAAGTTTTATACACTTGCACAAGGAAGTCTTAATGCTAACAGCATTCTCTACCAGTCATCCTCTTATATCAGTTCTATAGAATTTCTGACAAAAATCAAGAGGTTTAAAATTAAGATCTGAAAGATATTGAAATCGACAGTGAGTCTTTCCAGGTTTTTGGACGGCTTTCAAAAGAACTAATGTCAATTTTTTTTATGGGGGGAAAATCATCGTATATCTTCTCCCGCCTAGGTGAGGCGGGAGGAAGTGTCAGATTCTTACTGACTATAAACCACCCCGTTCCTACTCCTGCACTTTGAGCCGGAGCCCCGGTAACCCGTTAAGTCCTCCGCGGCTCCGTATTGAGAATTAATGTCTAAATCGATCTCGATCTACCTGAAGATATTGTATCGTTATTAATTCCTGCTGGAAAGGACTATACAGGCATCATCTTACGTAAAGCAGGCTCTTAGTCCAGCAGTGATTGTCATGAACTGTTGTTGATGATAATAATTATAATGCAAGGCTCACCCCTCCTTGGCTATCCTGCTGATGACATTCTTGGCCTTACTGCTGTAGAGTACAGTGCCGTGTCCGTTGGCCTCGAAGTAAACTCCGATGTCGTACTTGTGCGCTGCGCTGTGTAAGTGTTTCACTCCGGTCTTTACGCATTGAACTGGGATTTTCTGGAATGGAAGCAAATATTGAGTAAAAATTATTGATAGTAATATTTTATAAGAAATCTCAATTGATCGAGCGAAACAAACTGTTCATTGATGAAAATCGTACTTAAACACATCTATTTGTTTATGACGGACAAACAGCTGTATCATTTTTGATTCATTTTGGTGTTAAACTTGGCGAAAAGAAGATTTGATAAAAAGGTGTAGTGTTAGACTCACTCAACAGAGTTTAGTGGCAAAATGACAACTAAAGGAAAAGTCAGATGTAGTCTTTTTTTTGAGGGCGGAAAATCATCCATGACTTCTCCCACCCAGTTGCGGCGGGAGGGAGTGTCAGACTCTTATTGACTAAAAACCACCCCGTTACCGGTAAGCCCTCCGCGGCTTCGTATCGGCATCAGCCCTATTGGGTCCATCCGTGGTGGTCTGATGGCTCTTTGAGGCGCACGTGCGTCTGATTTAGTTACATCATTCTTGACCCAAGTAGAAAAGGTATACTTACAAGAGTATCAGTGATATATTTAGTGGAGGCTCCGTTGGCGTACGCAGTCTGTACTATGCCGAGTTGTATCTCAGTAGTCTGGCATCGCTGCAACAACTCCGTGATGTATGAAGCTAGCAACGTGGCTATACGGTCTCCGTCTAGTAGGTGCATTTTGTCCCTGGAAACATTAAATAAAACTTATATATGCGAAATGAATATCGTCTTAGTAAGAAATGTGGGAGAGTCATGCTTCAGCATGACTGCTGGGGCTGGGTGGGCTGGCTCGACCGGAGTGATACCACGGCCTCACAGAAAACCGACGTGAAACAACGTTTTTCGTTGTGTCAATGAGGTTACCGGAGGCCCATTTATGAGATATCTAGTATCTACATTAGTTGCAATTATTTACCTCAATTAATGAACTATGTTAAACTATGTTTGGATAAATTATAATTTAGACTGCTTCGTTGGCCGAGTGGTCGCAAGTGCGACTGCCAAAGGGTCTCGGGTTCGAGTCCCGGATCGGGCAAAGTATTACTGGGTTATTTCAAAAAATTTTAGTAGTAGCACGGAGTATGGAATTGTGCTTGGTATATGGCTATTGCCACCCCCTATATCATTGGAGTCATAAAATAAATAGTGAAAAGTGGGTGTTACATTGTACAGTGGCATTAAGTGCAGTAATGTACACCTCTACCAACCCCTTCGGGGATAAAAGGCGTGATGTTATGTTGTTATATTTACAAGCCATACTAACTTGTCATCAGTATAATAATACACCAGTCGGTCGCCGTCTCCGTCGAGTGATGCGATACGTTGGTACGGCGTGCTCGGGATGCCCTTAGCGGGAGTCTGCGTCACTTTCACATGGTCTGCGCCGCACTGAGGACGAGAGATATTGTTATGAGATCCTATAAAGTATACAAGAATGTAGTACTAAGATGGTTATTTAATTCTTAATAAAAATATTCTTAAGATCGAAATTATCTTTTTTTAAACAAATTTATTTATTGAAATATTACATAGGTGTGGCCATAAATCTAAACTCGACAAACTTTAACGTTTGATGGCGAGAGACGCTCATTAAACAAACAATTTCAATTATATTACAACTAGCCCGCGGCTTCGCTCGCGTCACAAAAGGATAAAAAGTAGCCTATATGACATGAACCAATACACACAGCGCCATCTATACCAATAATTTCGTTTTCCCTCGAGAATATCAAATTTTTCCGGGATAAAAAGTGCCCTATTATTTAATCCAGAATTCTAACTTCACGTCTGCAAAAATTCAAAGCAATCGGTTTAGTAGTTACGGCGTGAAAGTGGAACAAACAAAGAAACAAACAAACTTACTTTCCGATTTATAATATTAGTAAGGATAAGGATATGTAGGTACAATTGCAATATTTTTTTATATGGTTATACCTACTTATCTATATAGTTTAGTATTAAAGCTAGAACTAAAAATAATGATTTCATAACAGATTTCGACTACGCCAATTTCAAAGATTACTTTTAAAATCCTATAGCATAGCTTGAAACTAGGAGAGTTCCTCGTCAAACAGTTACGTAAGTAAATAGAAAATATAATAATGTAGGTAGTACTAAGTTACATATTATCATGTTATCAACTACGGGGGAGGTGCTGTGAATCACTATTATACGCGGACGAAGTTGCGGGCTCAGCTAGTAAAACAATAATATACTACTTACACCCAAATTCAGCTTCTCTCCAGACCCGCCCAAATTAAACAGATGTAGTTCAAGTTCCTCCTCGTCGAAGTTTTTCTTTACATTCTTTAGTTTCTTGCCCCCTACACCATTGGCGCCATCTACGTACAAACAGGGGGAGTAGTCCCCTATCGTCGGTAGACTCTTACGCATGTTCTTGTATGCGCCTATGATTTTCTCGTAATATCCTGAAAAAGAAATGAAATTGGATTAATCACTATGTCAGTTAATATAAAAAATGCGAAAGTAAGTTTGTTTGTTACTGCTTCACTCTTTATCTAATCACACAATCTTCTTGTTACACATACATAGTTGGGAAAACGGAGGACATAGGCGGACAAAGTCGCGGGTAAAAGCTAGTTTAGTACAAGAGTTCGTCTATCTATTTGGATTCTGGATAATAAACTTAGAAAGTGCGAACGGATTTCCATACAATTTAACAACGAAGATTTTCGTCATAATAATGAACTAGAGCGTTTCGTAGTTATTTTAAAATTCGTTTAAATAAATCATACGTGTCGTCGACCTAATATTCATAAAGCTGACTGCCGTGGGTTTCAGATAATATGAACCTCGTGCCAAGTAAAACACTAAGATATTTTGTTTTGAAAAGTACCATCCAAGGAGGTCACAGTTCTCAAAGAGCAAAGAGGGTAAAGTTACTGAACCGAGGATCAACTTTGTCGATTTCTGTCTAAAATACTCAACAACAGACCAATATACACAACGTATTTTATATGAACATTTTAAGTGTCGTAAAGGCTGATTATTCCGTTTGCATTGATACGTGCAGGCAACACGTGATTACTGCGTGTATACGCGCTTCATACAAGATTGGAATCAATCGATCAATCTTGTAACCCAAGCACTAGGAGCGATCGTGAAATGTGCCTTTACTACGCGTATACGCACGTTGACTACGCGTATAAAATACGCCAAGGCTATGTATTTTAGTCAGTATTTCCATGCAATAGCAGATGCAATATTATACTTACTATATCTACTGAATTGATTTTTATTTTACTACTAGCTACTTCTATGCGCTTTCAACCACTATGCTCAGCTCCTATTGGTCGTAGCGTGATGTTTTATAGCCTATAGCCATCCTCGATAAATAGTATATAGTATAAGTATAATATACTATTATATAAAGCGGAATTTGTTTTTATTGTTTGTTTGAACGCGCTAATCTCCGTAACTACAAGTCTGATTTGAATAATTCTTTTTGTGTTGGATAGCGCATTTATCGAGGATGGCTTTAGGCTATAAAACATCACGCTACAACCGATAGGAGCTGAGCAGAGCGTGTGAAACCGCGCGGAAGTAGCTAGTGTGTATATACTTATCTAAGAATGTTGCAATGTCTGTAAAAGTAATATAATAATTCTGTTACCATCATCGGTACACTTAGTTGCAATAATCGCTTTGACTTAGACTACTACAAAAAGATATTGATATAAAAATATTAAGGTTAAAAGTTCATTACCACTATGTTGGCTCCAGTTCAAACAGTTACATTCATTGAGTTACCAAAATAGTGGCACTATTGTGAGTGTTCACTATCACTCACTATCTTAACTAACAATCGGTACTTGCCAACTGGCACCATTGTGTATTGTTTAATTGCAACATTCACTATTTATATATTCATAGTATAGAAAATCAATAGGAAAGTTGGTAGACAAAGGCGTATTAAACGTTTTCAATATGAAAACAAAGTGATTCTAAAGACTAAAAATAAATAAACTAAAACATATAACATTATCTTTGTAAACACTATTATAATAGCTGAACTTGACCAAAACCTCGTGAGACACAGTCGGTACGTGAAAAAGCGATTATGAAACATAATATGAGAACGAATGCCTATATATGAAACACAATAGAAAATACATTATTTCTCGCGTGGATTCACGTTTAGACCCACGACGGATTAATAAAAATATGTACGTCAATTTTGGTTTTCAAATAAATAGAATAAAACTCACTTTTGTATTTTATAATATTCATTTGAAAGAAAAAAAAATACGTAAGTAGGTCTGTAGGCACTGTTAAAAACCTAACTGTGTTCATGGGCGGCGCTGATCGCTTACCATCAGGTGATGCATCTGCTGCGTTGGCTACTATTGCATAAAAAAAAACTATAGTCGTTCAACTATGTGCAATTTCCAGTAATCGACAACTAGGTACTTTAAAAGTTACTATTTATATAGCTATCTTCCAGATAATGAAACATTTTAAGAATTCATGATATTTCCTTATACTAACCTTCTTCAGTGGGAGTTCCGTAAGAATTATCATTGCGGCACTTGACGAAGAAGTGCAACATGGGAGTGGTCACTATGCCGAACTCCTTCGGAGTCCCCTTCAGAGCTATCACGCCATTCGCCGCCGCTGCAGCTAGTCGAGGACTTGTGTATCTGGAGAACAATTAATGCAATATGTTTACGAAAAATATTTTGGTTTAGCATACTATCATAAAACATCACGCCTTTTATCCCTAAAGGGGTAGCCAGAGGTGTACATTACGATAATTAAAGCGACTGCACAATGTAACACCCTCTTTTCACTATTCATGTTATGAGTCCCATGTAATAGTAGAGTGAGCCTATTGACATATACTGGGGGCAATACCAGTCTCCGTGCTAGTACTACTGGGATTTTTCTTGAAACCGAAACCCCTTGCCCGGCAGTCGCACTTGCGACCACTCGGCCAACGAGGCAGTTCGCTATGAAAGATACAGCTGTGTTTAAGACTCTGACAAGATTAACAGACATGTAATATAAGTAACCTTTTAGCCACCAAAAGTACCTATTTGTATAAAATGATTTTGTCTCTAGCTACCATTTAACGCATTCAGTGCCCATGACGCGTCTGTGCGTTTTGTGACACGACGCTATGTGCCCGGGACTCAAATATGCGTTCTATTCATTTGACCCTTTTTTTACCTGCTGCCCGTCGACGCGTCCGAGGGTCTATTGTTTCGAAACCCATATTTACACATATGTACTTCCTTATCTGATTTCTTTGATAAAGGTCATTACACACTTTGTACGAATTATAAAAAAAACTTATTCTACTACTACCAATGCAATAATCAATAATTTTGTTCAGCCGTTTCGAAATATAAATATACTTAGAACAATTGAAAAAAGAAATATCCACGTAAGACTACGATCACCTTTGGTGGTATTTTTTTTCAATGTTATCTCGATCATCTCTTTTTTTCCAAGAAACCTAAAATTTCACATAACACATACATACGCACAATAGAATCACATTAGTTTGCTGATAACGGCAATACAATGCACGGCGGTGCCTTAGAAGATTTTAAATACCACGAGAGCTAAAGCCCAAAATCTACCTAGATACCTAATTGTTTTTTCCAAGAAACCTAATATTCATATGACTCTATCTACATACGCACAATAGATACATTAGTTTGCTGATAACGGCATACAATGCACGGCGGTGCCTTTGAAGATTTTAAATACCATATCCACCAGGCGCTATAGCCAACTATCGAAATGTTTTAGGATAAACCTATACGAGATAATAAGTACCTTACTAAATATCTATGGTGAAAGACTATAATTTATATATACTGGCATCGCGTCGTGACATACGTTTAAAAATCCAACATCAACCTTGTTTTTGAAGTAGGTTAATTAGTATACTAAACCCATCCCCTAAATGTAACAGAAGTTTTTCTGAAAACCGCATCAAAATCGGTTCAACCAATCGCGAGATAATCGCGTACAAACAAACGTACAGGTCAAACTGAGAACCTCATTTTTTTAAGTCGGTTTAAAATACAACAATGGTCTAAATATAAACCTACTTACCAATTATAGAATTATTACGTTCATCCTTAGTTTATATTTAGATAATTTTTTCAATTTCACTACATAAAATAAATAATCTTATGGATTATAAATTCCATTACAGTGTGTCATGACCCTAACTATTATCTACAGATACATAATATTCTATCGTATTTTCGTAAGTATATAACAAACGCACAGACGCGTCACGGGCACTCGCCGAGAGTCGAACGGACGCATATATGAGTTTCGGGCACACGGTGGGAGCCGTAAGAACGCGTATATGAGTTTCCGGCACACGAAAAGGGCAAACATTGAACGCAATAGTGCGTGCGGGGCACTGTAGGATGTCTTATAATTCGGGCACTGGAGAAAATCCACTGGGCAGTGAATGCGTTAAGGAAATAATAACTGGTGCAGTGTAACAGTTGTTATTTCCAAAATAGGTAAGAGCAACAAACAAAAGCGTTTTCTGTCTTAACCGAAATAAAATAACGCGAAGGAATGACCTTCATTCCGTCTGCAAGTTGACATTTAAGAAAATCATTAACATTTATGATTCCTATTCAACGTTGCTTGACGATTATTTTAATAATACACGATAGGGTATATACTTTCTTAAGGCATATATAAAACCGAAAAATTGGGTACTTGCCAACCAGTAGTCAAATTCAATACTTTTTTCGAACTGTCAAATACGACAGTTTCCTTTGAATTTTGTACGCGATTGTGTATTGTGACGTCACGGTTGTTTAGCGTCAAACACCATACTAATTACTTAAAAATTTGCTGGAAAAATTAAGTTGGTGATAAAATCAATTAATGAAAGGGTTGTAGCGTTCCACTATCAGTAGATATGCATGCATATGGATAGTAACGTATGGGACCCACTTTTAGTATTGTGACGAGAATATTGATATTGTCTACATTGACGGTCGCCATTGACTGTCTATGGTTTTATGATTAACTCTGTGACACATTATGGCGTTACACTTTCGATGGACAGGTCGCAGACGATTATAAGTTTTGCCATTGAAATTAATACGAGTTTTATTTAAAAGTCTGCCTCTAAATTACTAGGCGCACTACTCCAAAATTGGTGACCCCGACGTGATATGAACACGCAGATTTATTTATTAATATTTTATTGTATGGATCAGTCGAAATAATTTATTTTTGATTAAGGAAAGTACCCAATGCAAACACTAATACTTAGAAAGATATTCCGGCATTTTAGAGAAGTTATTTTTAGTCTTGTCTAGTACACATGATGCCTTTCTATATTAGGTATCACTACATAGTATAAAACAAAGTCGTTATCCGCCGTCTGTCTGTTCCTAGGTAGGCTTAGATCTTTAAAACTGCTGGCAATAAGCTCATCCCTATTACATGGGACTCGATATCATAAATTGTGAAAAGTGGGTGTTACATTGTACAGTGGCATTAAAGATGGGATTTTACCCGGAAAATACCCAAATATGGGAAAAAACCGGGAAAAAACCCGGGGAAAATTCCCGAATGGGAAAATATTCGGGTTTTTTCATATTTAACACATGTAACAAATAAGTAATGTGTAGATTATGTACATATCATATAGTACGTACTATTTAAGAACTATTACTACAAGTTAGAGCTAATCTAACTTTGTTTGTGTTCAAATTGCAGTAATAACGTTCTTAATATCCTTAGGTACCTACTATCTATTGAAATAAAATAAAATTAAACAAAAATCCTGTCTGTTTGTGTGTGATCCTCCGCTCTTAGCGACAGGTAGGTAACCCGAAAATACGTGTGCGGGTAGAGGGGCAGGGAAGCAGGTAGTAGAGGGGCGAGCGCGTTCATGATCTATCTATCACGTTGTTTCGGCTTCATACTGTGCGCACTCATGTTAATTTGTTGGTTTAATTGACGACTTGGATTTTGTATGGAGGACTTTTGGTTACCTAGTTTGAATTGACAACAACTGCTACTCTTACGGACTTTGATACCTACTTTTTTTTACGAACGAAATTTATCGGTAAATTTATAGTTTTGTATCTTTTGTAAAGTATAATAAATGATTGTTAGTAAGAGTATCTCTCGTTGTTTTATTACATTTTTTAGTCAAACATTGTTTAAAGTTTAATAGGTATTTTTTCTGCTGTTAACATTCCATCACAGAGCGCAGTAAAAACTTATTATAAAACAAGAAGACGTCTTTATGGTGTTATAATAAAAATGCTGGTTACGTTTTAGTTCTTGAAACAGACTACACATTTTAACGTTTCAAATAACAGACAACAGCTATATAGTGCCATATACAAATACACATTACATATGATATTTCTGAAACCAGCACTGTATTTAATATAAATAACAGATGCAACTCAAATTCCGCGCCAAAATGGAAAACAGTTGTGCCAATGTAACAACTACATAAAAACAAAAAATTGAATTTGGAACCAAACAAATCATCCATTCCCAATACTTTTTTGAGTGAACGTATATGTGCATCACAAAGTACCTATTTCTTAAGTTTTGAAAATAAAAATAGAATAAGATCATTATAAATGAAAATACCCGCCTATTGGGTTTTTTCCCACATAAAAACCGGGTTTTTTCCCAAATGGGAAAAAATCTGGGTTTTTTCCCTTTGGGTTTTTTCCCAGTGCCCATCTCTAAGTGGCATTAAGTGCCGTAGTGAGCACTTCTGCCTACGCCTACGGGGATAAAATGCGTGATGTTATGTGTAATTCTTAGGGAATGTTTATATGTACATATAATACATGAATATTGCAGCCGTGCGAAGCCGGGGCGGGTCGCTAGTATAATAAAAGAAATAAACATTCTCTATAACTAAAAAAACTATTATGTTTAGTATTACTAACCTGGTGTCCATCCCAATGAATACACTGGCCTTCAGGGTCATATCAGCCTTGACCTCCTGTATGATCTCCATCGTCGTCGCTTCCAGATCATTGTCACTGGAAACGAAAATAATAATTTTATGTAAAAATATGTTGTTTGGTGACAATTAGCAACATGAAGAGTACATGTATGAAAAAAAATAGCGCTCTTCATAAAAGAATTCCTTTTCACCTCGATATTTAAAATATCATCATCATCATCAACAGCCTATAAATGCCCACTGCTGAGCAAAGCCTCTTCTCACACGGAGAAGGTTTGAGCATTAATCACCACGCTTGCTCAATGCGTGTTGGTAATTTCAAACTTATAATTAGAAATTATAAGCCCAGGTTTCCTCACGATGTTTTTCTTCACCGTTTGTCAGTGGTGTCTAAATAATCTTAGGAAGTACATATGACTCGGAAAACGTCACATTGGTACCTACTTGCCCTTGGTAGGTTTCGAACCAGCACCCTCAAGTATGAGAAGCGCGTCATAAACCTCCGGGCCACCACGACGTTAAAATATACTTTATCAAAATTGAACTTTACTCATAGAAAATTTCAATACTTCATAGAAATCTAACCAAGGTGCAATGCAGCATGTCTTGCATCCTTAGTTATCAGGGCCTTTAGCCAAACGCCATTGTAGCGCTTGTTTACAGAGAGAGTAGAAATCAAAATGTATGGGGATGACACTGACAAGTGTCAAAATTTTCGTCAATTCCATATAATTTGGTTTTCTATTCTACATGTAGACAAGCGCTAAATGGCATTTGGCTACAGCTGCTTCAGATTAACTTGTCAATAAATTAAACCAAACAGCACAGATTGTGACGTCAGTAAAGTTCCTTTCCAATTGAATGCAGTATTCAGGTAATTAACTAATTCATCTGACATAAGGAAACTGAGAAACAAGGTACTGTGGGAGTCAATGTGGGCTTGAATTGCCTACAATAATGTGATCTTTATATAAATAGCTTTAGTGTATTGTTTTAGGAATATGGTTGGTATTGGGATGATATTAATTATTTTTATGTTACTGAGTGACTGATTCCTCGTTGGCCGATTGGTTGCAAGTGCGACTGCCGGGCAAGGGGTCTCGGGTTCAATTCCCGGGTCGGGCAAAGTAAAACTGGGTTTAAATAAAAATCTCAGTAGTAGTCTGGAATTATGCCCGGTATATGGCTCACCGCCTATAACATTGGACTCGTAATCATAACATAAATAGTGAAAAGTGGGTATTACATTGTACAGTGGCATTAAGTGCCGTACCTAATGTGCACCTCTCTCTGCCTACCACTTCGGGATAAAAGGCGTGATGTTATGTTATGAGTAACTGATGGACTGACTAAATAATTCGAACTATTGGACTTAGTACGCTGAAACTTAGCATGTATGTTCTTTGGGTAGTAAGGATTTGCCTTCCTACAGGAACGATGAAAACGGGAATCACCTATTTATGCGTACGAAGTCGCTGATACTAGCTAGTCAATTATAAGACTTAAACTGTCAAACACCAAGCGGTCACCGGTGACCGCGACCTATTGTTCTTTAATTGTGTCTATAAAACCGGTACTCGACGAGTTAAGTTGCTGTGTGACTGGTAGACAGTGTACATCCGAAATTACAGGATGCTGGATGGAAGTGGTTCTGTGACAAACACACATACCAAATGTGTCATCTCTATAGTATATCATAAGTGGTTTATAGAAAAGCACTTTTATGTAGAGGAAGCTAATAGTCTAGCAATGGTCTGTCATGGGATGTTGCTGTGACATGTTACTGGTTATACACTCATTTAAACCAATAAACAATCAAATATGCTCCCTTTATATTATTCGTATAGATTTCTTACTAATTATTAGAAAGAATATGTCGTGACTATCATGGATTCTCGATCTAACGCTATTTAATCGTTAGATCGAGAATCCTTGTTAGTCAAGCGACGTCAATTAGTAGTACACGAACGTCTGTGACTGTTAAAACATTTATTTGTAATCAAAGTACAATAAAAACTAAATAGTTAGCCAGTTTATGAAGCTAGACGCTCATTTCAAAACGTAGACGAGACGAGTGAAAATCAATATGAATATTATTATCGCACGCACGAATCTGTGAGCGAAAACTAGAATGAACTAGGTACGTACATATGCCTACCCAGTTCATTCTAAAGTCGTCTTTTCACATGAATGGTATTGTTAAACGAGACAAAATCAAAACCATGACGTACTTCTAGGTGACTGAATAATATCTTCAAAGTGACATATATTTCTCTTTTGTTAAAAACACGTTACCCCACCCTAGGATTTTCTGCTGCACCGTGGGTGTGTTTACAAACATACAATTTCACATACACATGACACCCAGACCCGGAACAACAATCTGTGGATCACACAAATAATTGTTCCGTGCGGGAATCAAAGCCGCGTCACGTTGCGCGGCAGCCAGTTGCCCAGCCACCGCGCCAACCGTGCAGTCAATATTGGAATGAAGAAGAGACGTTGATACGAAGGTAAGAACTGCTAGACCTTTAAATTAGAGGTATTATTGATATAACTGTGATCGTCCATCTTCTTGCAAAGCTTGGAGATTAGGGCAAATCCTTTTAAGGATGCTTTTGTCAAGCAATGAACGTCATTCGGCTGATGATTTTTATTTTTTTTTTAAGGGGGAAAATCATCGAATGACTGCTCCCGCCTGGGTGAGGCGGAAGGGAGTGTCAGACTCTTACTGACTAAAAACCACCCCATTCCTTCTCCTGCACGTCGAGCCGGAGCCCCGGTTACCCGTTAGGTTCTCCGCGACTCCGAATCGGCATCGGCCCTATTGGGCCCCATCTGTGGTGGTCTGATGGCTCTTTGAGGCGCGCGCGGAACGCGACGCGCCGTACGCTCGGGTCTGTTTCTGGTCGGACGGGGAGCCACCCATGCTCGCCGTCCGCAGGCCCGCGCTTACGGTGGCCGGAGATCGTCCCGCGATCCCCGACGCCCGGTGTGTCCTTCGCGATGGCTGGGTTGCGAGGAGGCAGCGCTTCGCTGCCTCACGCGTCCCGCCTCCTCCTTAGCTAGCATGACTGCTTCGCAAAAGGAGGAGACGGCATCCCAGTCCCCCTCGCTCCGCATCATGGCCTGCACTAGGCCCGGACGCGAGAGGTCGCCATCGCCGATCACTTCCCTGAGGGCACGGCGGTGCTCAGCCCACGCAGGGCATTCTCCCACTGTGTGTTCCACCGTGTCCTCAGGGCGGTCCTCGCAGTGATGACACCCGGGCGTTTCCTCCCGCCCCATCAGACACAGGTACCTCCCGAAACTTCCATGTCCGGTGAGGACCTGCGTCAGGCGGTAGGTGAGGACGCCGTAGCGTCTCTCAAGCCACTCCTCAAAGAGGGGTCTTACCGCTGCGATGGCAGCGAGCCCAATTCGGCTGATGATAGTGACTATTGCATCTTATTGTCATTGCAGAAGTCGACCGAGATGTGATGTTATGTTATGTTTATAAAACTACTGTCGTCATCAGATGAAATGAGTCAATCTTTGAACGAAGGCCCTCCCTTTGACAGGGGATTTGCCACCTTATACTCACGCATGGCAGACGACTTGGGGATCGCTACAAAGTTATCGATTTAGAGAATGAGAGATGAATCTACCTTACGGAGGCTGGTAAGTTTTAGGACATGCCCAAGTCCTTAGTAACAACACGATGTTAAATGCAAAGGAGTTAAGTAGATATAGGTCATATTTTTATAGGATAGGAAGCCCAATTTGACCTAATTGAAAGCGATCAACGTCGGCCATGGATACCCGCAAGCCCGCAACACCAAAAGCGTTACAAGTATAGACGACGACAGCATAATGCATCCCCATCACATAGATGGTTGGCAGGCCACAACTGTGAGCTTCTCGCATAGCTTTCTGCTTCGCACACCAAAACTGTGGAATGATCTGTCGTCGGCGGTATTTTGGAACCGATACGTCCTTTTAACCTTCAAGAAAAGAGCGTATTCCTTTATAAGGCCGGCAACGCACCTGTGACTCCTCTGGTGTTGCGGATGTCCATGGGCGACACTGATCGCTTACCATTAGGTGATCCATGTGCTCGTTTGCCTCCTATTCCATAAAAAACAATAACCGCGAATCCGGCATTTTAAAGTCTTGAAGAGAGATATAGTCGTATCGCACCTGACATTAGCCAATTTCGTCGCAAGGGACTCCCATTCTTCCTCCAGCATCTCACCGTCAGGGTCAACCAACTTCACACCGTTGTCTGGCTCCAAATTGTGCGATGCAGTTATCATCATTCCTATTGTGCGACCTGTAATAGACAAAGCTCTGTGAGTATCACGCTAAAGGATTATCAACCTTATTGTTAGGACGATAAAGTGACACGTAAATATGTAACCATCTGTTTAATTTTACACGCAAAATGGCACTGCAACGTGGTAAGTATAAGGTGTGTTTTGCAACGGAGTTAGCTGATATGATCTGTGCAGATTCTTGCAACAGTGACATATCTATTCCTGAATCCTGTTCGGCAGTAGTTAGCCTAATTTCTGTGGTATTGTAAAATCGTTGGCAGTTTGCGGTATTACACATCAGTGGGTAATAACGCGTTGGTAGTAGAAGTGAAATATTACGTATTGTGACAGGATTAAACTAGTAGAAAAAATATCCTGAATATTCTTAGAAATTCCTTGTTGGTAAATACGAACTTTTAAATTATGCCTGTATTATTCTGAAGGCCGGGGTGCCTTAGGACTCCGAAGTCTTACAGTTAATTTTGGACATAATTGGTTATGGATTAGTCCGATTATTTGAACAGAGAACTCCGTTTATTTTCATAAACTACCTTCAGAAAACCTAAAATGGAATACTATCATACGCCTTGAGAATTTTGAGCTCAACAGTCGTAAAAAAGTCCGTACCTACCTATCCTAAGACCTACCCGTCTGACATTGAACGACCTACTTCAAGCCAAAATAACCTATCTTTTTCAGTATTAGCGGTTTCAATATCCACGCCTACATCCACCCAGACTCAATATATCGTAAATAGAGCGTGAAGGACACGGAATAAGAAATGGGGGAGGCCTATATTGCGTGACTCAGCTTTTGTGAGGAAAAACCCGTCAAGTGCTAGCCAAACTCTTGTATTGAGGGTTCCTTGTGTAATTTCAGAAGCTACTGTGGTTCTAGGAATTGTTATTCATTTAATAGTTTATTACAAGATAAATGTGACAAATGTGATAAACACGAATGTAAGCTTCATTGTTCTCCTACCCGCTGTAAGTAACTGCTTCCCGGGTGAATTGTAAGCTGTTTTTCATGTTAGCGTAATAAAAAAAATCAACTTGGTGTTTTCACGACAACAGACATTCACCATATTAAGCTGAACGTCGTTATTTTATTTAAAACTATTGTCATATCTACTGTATACAACCCCCTAAAGAAATACACTAATATTATAAGTAAAATAGGCATTTGCGTCACAACCTTCTAAAGCATCGTAATTTTCCAGAAAAATTCCCAAATAAAAATATTAGTCAAATCGGTCGCGGCTTCCTCGAGAAGCATTCCGTCATACACGTGGCAAATTGATTTATTTATATAAATAGACTAGACGAGACAGCTAGGGTTGTTAAACTGTACAATTCGTTGCCCTACAGACACAATCGAGAGTAAAATTCAATCCACGATCGGAATTCTTTAGACTATACCTGTTTAACGCGACAACCTTGGAAAAATGTCAAAGGTCTGAGAAGCGAAAGTTATTTAAGTGATTTGAATACTTAGCATATATTTAATGTCTATAAATAAACTAATAAGATACCTTATTAGCTTAGCTAGTGTCGAGTAAGAAATTGTCCGGTTTCCGGATTAATTTCGGTTGTCTTGGTGATTTTCTTAAGTAGTTTGGGATCAGTACTTAGTCTTAATTCGTTATTACTTATCTATAAGTCATACTTTATCCGTTTACCTAGGACAAAATAAATGTTTTGGTAAATACAACTCGAGAACGCCTGGACTAAAGTGGTCTTTATTGACAAGAAAAGAATTATGCAAAGAAGTAGCTAGGAAAATTTGGGAAAGTTGGATAATGGCAACCGTGCGAAGCTTGAGTGTACCGCTAATATTTTTATAGAAACGGGTATTTTTTTACCAATAGGGCTAAAATAAGTAGGTGAGATTGTTCACGGTATTTAACTAAGGTTGTTGGAAAGTCAAGTGTCTGGAAAGGCAAGTCACTTTACTACCAAACTAGTAGGGTTCTTGAGGAGTCAAGTATGTTTACATCCACATAACTGTGAAGGTTGTTTAACCTTGAAGATTGCTTTGTGTCTGTAAAGTTTAGGGTTCCCAAGGAACAGACCGTGATAAGTATGATAAAGTGTACATTTTATACACACACTTCGTCATTTGCTGCTGTTGATTGAGCCCGAGCCCGTGACATTCAAATGATGGACTATCATGGGGGCCTTTGGGCTTTCCCTACATAAGAGTATTACCTCGTCTCCAATCAGGATCGGAGACTATTGAAGGTTCAGATGTATCAGAAAATACTGCTGCCCAAGTTTTGTGTGTCCCTTGACCGTACATTTGAAAGATGTAGTCCCTTAGTCGGTTGTTATGACGAGTGCGAGAATAAAATGGGTCGTCACAGGCTTGTACCAGTACTAAAGAACCAATTAAGATTACCAATATTCTCATGTATCTTTTAAAACAAAGAGATCATCTTTTGACCTTTATCTAGTATAAGGTACGTCTACAATAGCATCTTATTGTACTAGTTCTCAATAACAATGCCGTGCGACAGTAACAAAGGCCTTGTCTGAACATAATGTGGAGCAGCGCTTGATTAGCTAAGTCGAGTCTACCTGCTATGTTAATGTCTAGCTACGAGATCTGAGTTCTTAATCAGTGTATAAACTAACATGGTATATTACATACAGTATCCAATGTATTGAATACACTGTCACTGTCACAAATTGTATAGAATTTTTGAAATGTTTTAGAGATTACATCATTGTCTTTCTTCTGACCTTTTTCTAGATGGGTTAGGGCATTGAGCCTTGAGAGTTGAATAGATTTCTGATTTGACACGGAATTACCAACTCTATTGTGTAGTTACTATAAAATATTTTTGTATACATCGCTACTTATCATTACGAACCTTTGCAGTATAGCCAAATATGATATCAAAGAGTGAATTAGATTAATTTACGTCTATTACACGTTTTAATAAAAAAACCTACTATCAGTAATTGTTCAGTTTTACTCGGAATCTAGCGAATCGATTCATAGAATTAGTAATAAACACGCAACCGTAAGCCTACACAGTATACCCTGCAGACAGCTACTAAACTAATATTTTTAAGTCCTGAATACACTGGGTAGTCTATTATGCAGACAAACTTATATAAAAGTTAGAATCATAGACTTATTTTCTTACAAATATAAAGGACAATGTATTTTAAACAATGAAAATGTTTATGCATCCACTCCATTATTTAACCTACACCCTATCATTTTTTTTTATTATTTTTTTTTATTTTTATTTTTAAAACGTTGCCCCACACTAGGATTTTCTCCTGTGTCGTGGGTGCGTTTACAAACATACAAGTTCACATACACAATGACACCCAGACCCGAAACAACAATTTGTGGATCACACAAAGTGTTGTTCCGTGCGGGAATCGAGCCCGCGACACGTTGCACGGCAGCCGGTTGCCCAGCCACCGCACCAACCGTGCAGTCAATCATTGCTTACCACCAGGCGATATAGTCGCACGTCAACGTCGTCGTTGTCATTGTAAACGTCGACCCATCAAATATAAAAATAACATCCTCTTTCAAATACCGTCGTTCCCATTTATCCCCAAGCGGTCACCGGTGACCGTTCTGCACTCACTACATTATTGACCTTATTTCCGATGTTTAGAGACTACTTTTGTATGAACAAATTTAGGGGATGATATTTCAACAGGCGTCGTAAACGTCGACCCATCAAATATAAAAAAAAATATCCTCTTTCAAATACCGTATCAACATCTTACTCTTTCGACGGTCGCCTAATCATTATGGGCATGAAGTCATTTGTCCGTAAGTCCATACGACTAGGTACGTATAACTGTTCCTAGTTATGTACTATGTAGTAGCACAAGTTTTCTGACCCAAGGTCAACCGGGGCATTAGTAAGCTTTGTGTACATGTCCATAAGAACTTTCAACTCGGACACACTTTTATATCAATAAGCTAAATGTGTTGACGTAATGAATGAATGGAAGGAAGACACAATAGATTAACGAAACTAGGTCAAAAGTTGGACTAAATATTTTCAGACCACGGTTCTTTTCTCCTAGTAAGGTTCTTTGTTTTTGTGTTTATATTAAACGGCGCATTATGTTAATATTCCTAAACCGTATATTCCGTGGCTCGGTGCCATCAATCCCGGTTGTCACACGAAAATCCATGACTGCCTTTGCGGGTAGTCAGAAATCACAGTTAACGTGTTGAGGGTAGACGGCAGTTAGTGTTTTTAATTATTTATGTGAATATCTGTTACGCACTAGTACAAAAGTAGTCTCTAAACATCGGATATAAGGTCTATAATGGAGTTAGGGGAGAGCGGTCACCGGTGACCGGTTGGGATTGAGCAGAATATGTCTTATTCCATTCCCCTGTGAAACTTTATCCTACCACAAACTATCATTTCTTTTATATCGTTCTTTTCGTAATCCATTCTCTAACCCATACTCTCTTTAGCCGTTCTTTTCCCTTCCAGGCACCGGCATTCATATAGCATCTAGCAAGCTATCATAGTTATAACAGGAGCTTTGCTTAAACAGTCCAGCCTAAGGACGCCCTAAATCAATTACTATCTACATAAGTTATAAGCGACAAAAAATGGACTGTAACCTTACCATTTTTCACCCTGGAGCGGATAACAGCCAACAATCCCATGCGGTAGACCACATGTTCCAACAAGATGGCCCTGAAACAATATAAAGAAGCTTTAGTTAATCAATCAATCAAAATCATTTAGTTAAGCACCTACCTATACGTTAAATAGAGCATTTTCTGTCTGCTGTGGTGGTTATTTTCAGCCATGAATCATTGCACCGGATTTGTTATGGATGATACTTACTTAAATACTCAAAGGTATAGATAGAAAAAGTACATTCATAATTATTATGGCAGCCCAAGCATTTTTCTAAGGGGTAAAATCATCCGAGGACTTCTCCCGCCCGGGTGAGGCGAGGAGTGAGAGGGAGTGAGAAAAAGAACACCCATTTTTCGTCAGCTATCAACTCCACTCCAATAATAGGCATTGTATCTTGTTGGTTGTTAAACCACGAGAGAGGTTTGACAAAAGTAATTTTTGATAAATATGTGAAATGTTACATGTCTTATACTCCAGAAAGGAGTGGGTTTAGACTACATATTAAATGATACGAGTCCAGAAAACGCAGTAAGAAATGCACTCCACAATTTCAATTAATTTACGAAAACAATTACACAATTGTATGACAACTGACACCGTTGTGTTTGCTAACGATATCAACTAGTACAACCAGTTACCAGTCACAGTACAAATAATATTTATGTACTTACTTATGTATATTGATAAAACACAAAACATTGCACCTTTCCCAACCAAGTATTGATTTTTTGTGTCACTCTGTTATCTTAGTAATAACAATTAATATAATCTTTTTATGTTCACGGTTCAGTTATGGAAAGTGCGATAATCTAATCTAACAGATAGATACGTTGATACGTATCATCATATTTTGTGAGTGCCAAAATTAGTAGAACTGACTGTGGTACTGATACTATAGTATCACGGCTTTTGTTTCCCATAGAGGGCAAGGATTATTGGTAATAGGATTTATTACCAATAATAGACTCGTGCATACTGAGAATTTTATAATCGAAGTATCCAATTACAATTTGAAACCACTAATGGTCTGCGCAATTGATTTACTTCTGACCACAGAAGACTAACAACAATTAAAGATTGCTGAAGAAGAGAGAAGGCCGTCAAGACTAAGGTGTCCCTCGTCTATGCAGAGCCTTTATAAGGGGGAAAAATCATCTAATAATTCCTCGCTCCTCTAATAATAACGTCGTGGTGGCCCGGAGGTTTAAGACGCCCACTTCTCATGCATGAGGGTGCGGGTTCGAAACCTACCAACGGCAAGTACCAATGTGACTTTTTCCGAGTTATATGTACTTTCTAAGATTATTTAGACACCACTGACAAACGGTGAAGGAAAAAACATCGTGAGGAAACCTGGACTAATTTCTAATTATAAGTTTGAAATCGCCAACCCGCATTGAGCAAGCGTGGTGATTAATGCTCTAACCTTCTCCGTGTGAGAAGAAGCTTTGCTCAGCAGTGGGCATTTATAGGCTGTTGATGATGATGAACTCCTCGCGCCTTGGATGAGGCGGAAGGGAGTGTCAGACTCTTGCTGACTAAAAACCAGTTCTTCCTACTTCGAGCCAGAGCCCCGGCATCCCCACTCCTTTAGTGATTCTTACGTAGTGTCCACTGTCCAGGATCAGAGCTAGGCAGACTAATTTTTCATTACAATTAAATTAAATAATTAAATTATAACCTTTTTCGCAGAAATTAGAGCTCATCTCGGCTCACACCATCAATGAATAAAGACTTGAGTACAAAAACGTACTGCATAAATCTCGTTAGCCATTAATAACGGACTGCTTATCATTATTCTTTCATAAACAGTTATGTTGTATGGATAACACTAATGGCTAATGGCCGCCACAATATAATCACATTTGGTTGGTAGATTAATTATTGCAGATGTTATCTTGGCTGCGAGTACGCAGGTACATACGCTTATTACATCTTGGAATAATGCTGTGAATTTTTAATCGGTTTCCGTAATGTATTGAATTTATTTTGCTTTGAAATTCAGGTTATGTTCTAAACCTTCCACCAGCCCCCGCAAAATGCACTAACATCCTCTAGTTTTCGGTGAAGTAGCTACTATACCAGTGACATGCTTAGTGTGGGATTAAGAAGGAGGCCACTGTTTATCAGTACGGACGTATATTAAAAATATTTCTTAATTAAAACACGTAGTTATTGGCTTCCGTCCATTTGTAACTAAAATGAATGAATGATCAATGATGGGACGTTCAACCCATACTATTTTTGTATTTCTATTTTTATAATTATCTATTTCCATCTATCCGTTGACTCAGTGATCGCAAGTGCGACAGCCGACCTCGAAAGTCTGGCATTCTTCATATTTGATTATTTATTACTGCTACAATTTTAGGTACAGGTGAGAATTTTAATATAGGAATAGCAGGTTTGGAAGTGGCACCAGTTGAATCATAGATATTAACAACCGACCGGCTTAGGATCATTATTTGGTCTGGTAACGATACTATTTAAAAAGAAAGAAGAAAGGACGCCGTTCACATTTTAATCCAAAACATAAATTGTCATGCAAAAAACCAACTTCAAAAACAAAAACAAACGAAAAGTAAAAACTAAAAAGCCAAAAAAATAACTATTGTTGGCCATACGTACTTACATATAGCTTACACACCCACTGATAGGTGAGAAGTCGGTGCCACAAGTTTTACACAAAAATATTCATTAAAACCTTAATAGTTACCTAACATTATTAAGCTGTTTACAATTTTATTGTGGATTATACCTGTAAACATTACCTAAGATATATTTTATTATGGGTTTGTGGCACGGACTTCTTACCTATCAGTTTAAACAGACCTAAAGGTGTGCAATGGGAGAGTACACTTAGACAAGTGTAGCGTGGTGTGTCCTACAGCTAGGTGGAGTAACAATATCCGCAGTGGCAGGTAGTGCTTGGATAGAAAGAGCTGAATATCAACTCCGTGGAGTGCTAATTGCTATTAAAGAAGCTTCAAGCAGCAAGTGCAGAGGACAAAAATGGGCTGATGATGATTTATTTGTTTATTGATTAACACGGTAGACACCAATTACATTAATCAAACATAATAATTACAAAAAATATAAAAAAAAGAAAACTAAATCAAAGTACATAGCATAAAAAAGGTGTTGAAAGTAAATGAGAAAATATAGTAAAATTACAAAACAGATAAAGTTGGACACAAAAAAAAAATACACGAAACAACATACAATACAACTTAGAATTAAAATGAAACAGTAATAATAACAATATATGTACACAGAATCTGGAGAAAAAATCAAAACCGAGATAAAATAACATTGTTATATGTGGTTCTGCTCACAATACACCAGGCAAACAGACATTACAGCCTTAAACTTATCATTAAACAAGTCACAATCCGGGTAGACCTTCATGAGGTTGTTAAACGCAGCAAGAACACGTGGAATTGGAGATTTCGCACGTGCATTAGTGCGGGAAGTAGGTACTGCTAAGAGCCGATGGTTCCTATTGCGAAGATGATATTATGGCTTTAGCCTCTAACTATTTAAGGATTGGTGTTAAGGCTTCCACTGACGGTGAAAATTCTATATACAATAGACGCAGTCGTATGATAACTGTATTTGCAATCGATTAGTAATTAGGTCACGTAGAAAGATACCTACGTTACTAACTTGCAGTGACGCATTAAACTGGTAAAACCCTATACATCACTAATACACACAGCCATTTATCTTGTCTTTAGAGTACATTTCAATAGTTATCGTCAGTTACATTGTGACTGTTGGGAATCTCTTTTAGGGGGAGGGGTATTCCAATTGCCAAATAGCGTCCGGTGGAGATCCAGTGCAGACCGTAGTATTACTAACAATTTAAGAGGGTTTAATATATCCGTTTCACTCAAAATCTGATTGCTAGTCACCACGATCAGTGTAGCTATAAACTAGGTTAAAAATTGAATAAAGTTCGTACTAATTTTCATTTTAGAAGTTTGAGAACATTCATGGTTGAACAGTTCAAATCGTTATATAATCCTTTTGTATGTCGGTATTTAAGACACAATAGAAAACGCATCAAGTCTTGCGTAGATCTACGTTCCGACATACCTAAAACACCACCTTCATTAAAAACCTCCTCTTTTTTGCGAAACCGGTTAAAAATGCTCAAGTTTTCTTTTAAAACTCCAGTCTCCATCTAGTTATAGATGGATGCTGTCCATCTTCATGACATGCCATCTTTTACCGGTGTCTTACTTACGACACTGGCGGCTTCCCGTTACGATGCGGTTATTCTTAGCCGCGATCACACGGCGCTGGCGGAATCTACATACCGATGTCTATCCGTCCTACCTGGTTTATATTTATTCTGAACACCTATATCCTATATGAACTACGGAAGACAGTCGATTATGTGATTCATTCTTTATGTTACTTGGAACTCTTTGAAGCGATTGATGCATTGATATGTTGAATGATTTGTTTGTATACCTACCTAATTGTATCATTGTCAGTGTTATTAGTGTTCGTTGGTTTAGTGGTTGTAGGGGTGTGCCTGGGAATGACTATGTTGCTAGAAATGAGCATAGTATATTAGTTACTTTTTGAGATGAACCGGCTAAAGGGAATAACAACGATTAGGATAAGTAACTGATGTTTTTTATACCACTTCATTGGCAAAAAAGCACACGGCCCACCTGATGGTAAGCGGTTACCGTGGCCTATGTACGCTTACAACACTTGAGGCATTACATGCGCCTTGCCGATTTGAAAAACCTATTTACTCCTTTTTTGAAGAACCTCATGTAGTAGCCTAATAGGAAAACCACGACAGGGAGTTCATTCCACTGTCGGAGAGTCCGTCCGTCCAACTGACGTTATAGAAACCTCAGAAGGATTCTAGTTATTTTTTTTTTCATCTGAGAAATTGTTTGAAAAAGGACTTCAAGGCAAGAAGAGTTAGCCGGAGCCCTCGGCAGCCGAAGCGTGTGAAAAGGTACATATGGTCATAATCACTAATGCGACAATTGCGGTTAGACGAACGAATTAGTCCATATTGTTTTTAGCAATAGTTAAAAACTAATCAGTTCATATTACTTTACTAGCTACATAACATAACATAACATCACGCTTTTTATCCCCGAAGGAGTAGGCAGATGTGCACATTATGCCACTGTACAATGTAACACCCACTTTTCACTATTCATGTGATGAGTCTCATGTAATAAAAAAAGTAGGGGGTGAGCCTATTGCCATATACCGGGCACAATTTCAGACTCCGTGCTACTACTGAGATTTTTTTTAAAACCGAGTAATACTTTTACTTTACTAGCTACATAACTGTTTAATCCTTACTTGAACATTACATAACAAGAATTTTATTATGCACAGCTTGTTAAGTAATTGCTAATTAGACTCGGCATGCGATGTATGCTAGGAATTTTAACGGCGAACTTATTACATATTAATATGACTTCACGCCTGAGTAGGCGGGACAGGTAGAGGTGAACTTATGAATAGACTGTCAGTGTACCAAGCCACCCCTTTCTGTTGATAGATTTTCAACTTTATCGTTTGAGGGTAGAGTTAAATATTTTTTGAAGTTTATGTTGATTTGATACACTGACTGATGTATACACTTACGTTTTAGCACTTATATTATCATCAATACTAATATGTAGACTACTACAGTAGTAGCTATACTACACAATAAATATTTACCTAGCCTACTATGATGCACTATAATGTCTAGGTTTAACGCCCTATTGCATTACTATAGTATATTTTTTTTAAGGGGGAATATCATCGAATGACTTCTTTCGCGGGAGGGAGTGTCAGACTCTTACTAACTATAAACCTCCTCGTTCACTTCGAGCCGGAGCCCCCGGTATCCCGTTAGATTCTCCGCGACTACGAATCGGCATCAGTCCTATTGGGCCCCATCTGTGGTGGTCTGATGGCTCTTTGAGGCGCGAGCGGAACGCGACACGCCGTACCACAGTTTCTTTATACTATGGCCGTACGCTCGGGTCTGGTTCAGTTGGTCGGGCGGCGACCCATGCTCGCCGTCCGCAGGCCCGCGCATTTCTATAGTATAACGCACTATTAACTATAGGTGAAAAAATAATTCCTCATATCACAATTCTAGTCAGCTGCCACAAGACAAGTAAAAAGGCAATGACCTATGAAGACCATAAATAACTAAATAAATAAGGATAAAGTATTTCCGACCTGTACTCAAGGGTTTTGTAAAATAAACAATATTATTACATTTGAAATTCAAACAACGTACCTAAATCAGATACGAATTTAGCAGTTAATAAAAATTTTACAACTCGGAAAGTGCAAGTAAATAAACAACCGTCCCATACAAAATAAATGTTATAATTTCATTTCATACATAAATATACAAAAAAACTACGTTTAGATAACAAATAATAAAGTCAATACATGTTTTTAAGTGGTTGGGATGTTGCCAGAATTCATATATTGGTAAAGGTGTGTGCGGTACAGGGATCAAAGTGGTATTTTTATTGTTTTAGGCATTTGCATTGGCGGATTTGTTTGTGCAATCTGGTGTATGTTAGCCTCAATATAAATACATTGCTATTTTGCGGATGTATTTTATGTAATGCAAATTCTTCTAATTTTAGATCTGTGGGTTGAGATTTCCTGTTGGAGCTTGGGAATGTTTAGTTTTTCTGAAAACTTAATGCAAGATCCTTAATTAACACGTTAAACGCCATGGGGGTCACCGGTGACCGGCGTTAGCGGAGGATTTACCTTCAACAGTTTTTTATTGGCAGTCAAAGTCTTAATTGTGTGACTTATACAAAAAACAGTCTTTTGAAAATTGCATTAAGTCCACCTATCTTGAAAAACTAAATAACTATCTTTATCAAGAATATCAGTTCGAAAATCCAATAAGCTAAATAAAATGTCCTTATGTTTATCACTAAGGATATGATTAGAATGAACTCATTAAAATAAATTAATACATGACCTTATTAATTGATAGTGACCTACTGCTACCAGCAGCGTTACCAAAATATTAAATATCATACATATGGTACAAAATTCGACCTATTTCTAGGGCGACCTCTACTGGCAGCCCCATTTATATCCGCTCTGTATAGTGTTCCATAGTCTAAACCTATCTCCATGGGAGACCGGTGTGAGGTTATGTATTATGTACATAGCACAGTACAAAAGTCCTTATTCAATCTGGAGATTATGGTACCAGCTAGACAGTGATATAGGTCAAGTTCTTTCCTATCACAATGCATACATATAATAAGAAATAGGTTTGAACTAGGTACAGTCTGGATGTCTTCAAGGCCCGAGGGGTAAACATGCTCCATCATATCTCGCATCATCACTTACCATTAGGCAAGATAGTGGCCTAATGTCGGGGGCAAAAATTTAAACCTATTTCAGAGTTATCCCCAATATCTCTTATAAGTACTTACTTACACTTATAAGGTATCTTGACTTATAAGAATAAATAATTTTGGTCTCATTAAAATATTCTGAAAAAAAGACCAAATAAGGTCAGAATGTAGCTCAAATATGGTGAATATTTCAGTATTCTAGTGTTAGAAAGTAGAGCATATAATACATGAAGTATTGCAATAATTTAAAACAGTTGTTAACAATTTAGAAGGTATTTACCAGCCTTGAAACTTTCAAATAATACAAATAAGTTGTTGCAAGACCATTATTCAGACTGCAAAACTAGGCATATTTAATGATATTACATTTGAAACTTAAGGAAATAAGAAAATAATTGAATGCAAAGCAATGGTATATTAATAAAATTGAAAGGTTACAAATATGTTTGTATATATTAATTAACCACAAAATGCAGTTATTTTATCTTTAAAGGATTTTATTTATATATAGGTACTTTTAATTTTCATTGCCTAGAATGGTTGTGAAATAAAATTTCTATAATTTATTTTCCTTATACATTTAATTATGTATTTAAAATTTCAAATTACTTAAAAACAAGTGATGATTTTAAACCATTCACACCGGAACAGGTCACACGTGATATACTACAAAATTACAGATTATAAATATGACCTGTGACCTCCTTATTAAAGCAAGTAGGTTTATTTCTTATGATAAAACTCTATGGCACGTTTTACCACCAGTGAGTGAGAAGTGAGCCATATTAAGACAATATTCTATTTTATAGCCCCCCCACATAGATCAGAATTGTTTGGAAAATTATGTGGGAAGGTTTTATGCAGCTTTGTTTATATGTCATTTTAATTGATAAGGCCTTACTTGTTAGCATTTTCCTCATAAACATTGAATAATTTATTAGTGCACTGTACAATAACTCAGAACTCACGAACTATAGGGCCTATCTACATCTGATTTTGTCCCATTGTTTTGTCTTTACATCACGAGTCATTGACCATAATCACAGCCAGTTGTGTCAGCGACTTCCCGTTACGATATAAATTATTACAGATGACTCACAAATTGTTACTATTGCTTATTATCGACTTATAAGAACACGACAAGCTGCTTACGTGACAAAATCAACAGAGCATAAGAGAAAGGTGCGGCGAAATTTTGTTTATTTTGCTATTATGTGCTTATTTCAGACAGACACAGAAAAATAATTCAAAAATTATGGTAAAATTGTACTCACTTTGTGCGGAATCCGGCTGTGCCGTATTGTATGAAAACATCGGTCGTTTTCGGATGCATTTCTCTGGCGAACGCGTACACTACCCGTAAGCTACTTGGCGGCATTGTGATACGCGTAACTTTTTGCAATCTCTTGATTTTCGAAACCGATATGTCTTCATACCATTCCCGCTCCGAAAACTAGTTTCAATGAAATTGTGACGTGATGACGTCGCGATCTCACGTCAATCTTGATCGACTGAAGTATTACCCGACCGAGTGCAAGAGTAATGCATCAAATGGACTGTCGCTACGTGCGCAGCGTACTAAGTTCAAAATTTTATATACGTTCTAATAAAACACTATCACTTTTCAACTTCGTAGCTTAATAATAACAACTTTGACAACGAATGTCATTGCACTATGCAGCAAAAAATGTTTTAACATTTCAGTTCAAGTATTTTACGTTAGATGGCAGAGCATGTCTATAGGTGTTGTAATAGTTCTGCTACTCGGCAAGAGATGGAGCGCTTAAGAAATAAAATAAGTGATTGTTTTAATTTTAAACATTATAGAACCAATTTGTTCATATTTCACACTTTAATTTTTATCGAGCGATTTTTACCTAAAACATTAGCTAATGAAATTATTAATGTCGTCAGAATCTAATGATCCGTACCTATGTACTTTACAAAAATATTGTCCTTTCCGGTTTTTCTAATATTTTATGCATAAATATTGAAAACCATACCATATAATTTTACAAGACAAATTCGACATTTATGCAACTAAATTGCCAACATAACTTGACCGCTAATAGTGGCGCCACTTGGAAACAGACCCAATACATTTGTGTTATGTTTACCCTTTTATTCGGGGTCAGTTTATATTGGGCTATGCTGCTCAAATTATTAGTTTGGCTTGACATCTTTAATGAAGTAGTAAAGGCGACGCAACTAATAGACGCTTGGCTGTCAGCCAGTGGCGCTCGTTGTCAACTTTGATTACTGTCAATGCTTGCTGCTTAAAGTAACTAATCTGTCCATTCATAATAAAATTATTAATTGAAGCCAAAGACAGGCTTAAACACAGATACACTATATTTGTTTGAATTCACGTTAGGTACTTATTCTGATTATATCAAATAAAAAAAGGTTTTTGTCACAATAAAAATAACAGACAAATTACATCTCATGAAAAACTTTACAGCGCCATCTATGTACTACTACGGTTTAATGGACAGATAAAAAACTTACAGTCGGCGTCCGCTTCATGATCTTCAAAGCACCCTAATATTAAATACTTAATTAAGTAAAATACTAATGAAAAGAAGCATTCCCCACCTAATTTATATCTATTTATGAATGACAGTAACACATGCGTGTATTTAGAGCTAAATTAAAACAACAAACGAGAGACCATTATTGCTAGGGGCGCCATATTTTATTAACTATGGAGTTGGGATACATTTGGCAACTACACAATGAAATAGTACCTACAGGAATAATTTGAAATAAGCTAAAAGAATGAAAAATTGTAGGTATAGATATTTTTTTGTTAAAGGTAGGTAGGTAAGTGTAGGTAAATTCTAAAATGTGAATGGATTTAAAAAAATAGAATTTTTTAAAAGGTCGATTAGTTTCAGGGAACCACTGGATGTTTTCGACCGATAAATTCAAGGCTGATCTGAAAAATCTAAAAATCATTAAAGTGGGAGGTCTACGTTAACACTGGACATCTTAACCAAATGTCCTTTCTATCTCGTAGCCTGTCCTAAATAGAGTTGTCCTATAATACAGTTGTAGCGTTGTCACCGCAGTAATTACGGGCGTGGTCACGGTGCGCCCGCGCCGCGTCTCAGTAATTAATCGTGCAATTTTCAGTTAATGAGGTGCACGTTAAGAACAGTTACAATATTAGGAAGGGCTTCGTTTTACTGTTATTTACAGCTTTTTGATTAACTCGTGTTGAGATTAGAATTAGTTTTTGGGTAGGATTCATTGTTGCAGGAAAATACAATAAGATAAATAAAAATCCTCGTTCGTTGTTGACATTTTTTCTGCTGTATCGTGACACCCAGACCCGGAACAACAATTTGTGGATCACACAAATAGTTGTTCCGTGCGGGAATCGGACCCGCTGTGCATTGCACGGCAGCCAGTTGCCCAGCCACCACACCAACGGTGGAGTCAAACATTGTTGTAGAGTTACGTTATTGTCCGACGTAAGTGTTATACTATTCACTTATACCTAGTTTTCATACTTGTTTATCTCAGTTGCAGTAGCGGAATAATCAAATGCGAGGCCTATGCTATAGCTAATTCTATGGACGGGCCGTTGATCTCATACATGATCAAAGTATGGATATAAACAGGAGTATGGGTAATGTCATTCCTAGACTTTTTAGTTCTGACATCTTTAAGGTATACCTATGTGTCGTTTACCGGGGCTCCGGCTCGAAGTGTAGGAGAAGGAACGGGGTGGTTTTTAGTCAGTAAGCGTCTGAATCTCCCTCCCGGCTCACCCAGGCGGGAGAAGCTATTCGTTGATTTTCACCCCTTAAAAAAAATAACTATGTGTCGTTTCAATAAAATACTTTAAGGAAATGAGTTTGGCTACGCGGAGCCCTATTGCGCGGGGCCATGACGCTGTTCGTCTACATCGTTTTATCCGTCTGATCACCTAGAGCCTAACTTAATATAAAATGTTTCTATTACCTCATTTTGTCTAACCTAAAGATAACGATACTCATTTACCACGATCACCATGATCCCGTTACTCCTGTTTAAGTAAATCACGGAAGCAGTCTACACATTTGTCTATCAATCGTCGCATGCGCAGGCGATGCGTCTAATTACTCTAATTACTAATTAAAAGCCCCAGCCTGCGTTTCAATTGAGCCCATCTGATATGTAAAGTGCTCTCGGTATGTTAGTAGGATAGTAGAGAGTAATTGATGTCAGCTTCCTTATACTGTGGTACTTTCTTTAGACGTATCTATATAGTTAACTCATTTGCCATTATTAAATTTATCGTAAAGGTAATAAAGTTAAAAAGCAACTGCAGATTGTATACCAGTGCGTCCTAAAACTGCTACCAACCACATCGACAGATGTGCATCGAGGGATGTAGGTATATACGAAAAACGTGGAGATTTTTAAACCCCTTGTTAATGATAGCCTGCACTAGTACTGCGGATTTCACTGCTGACACTGATAATTTAAAAATAGTTCTTGGAATAATGGGAACGAACCAATGATATTATAAAGAAGATACGCTACGTTCATACTAAGCGGCGTCCAAAAATTGTTGCGTTCTTATTACAAATGTACTTAAATGTCATTTTCAACTACGTGCGACAGATATACGGAAAGTATGGTACAGAAAGAGATAGCTATTATAAAATTACGACAATTGTCTGAATTCGTTCGCAACAATTTTTGCGTGCCAGTGCGATATCTACCTCTTTTTATTATTTATAATATCATTGGAACGAACCTAACAGTCGCGTAGAACATCTGGAAAATAAAATATATGAAATAGTCTGAAATCATTTATGATCTGCCTAAGCCTAAACTGTTCTTAAACCAGCTTTAAATACGTAATTAAGAAACCATCGACGTTCCTTCTAATTACGTTATTATCATATAAAGTAGGTATCATAAAATTACTCAGAAATTCTGAGCCCGAACAAGCTCTTTAAAAGCTAAGTTAATTTTTCTAATAACACACCATGGACCTACTTATGTAGATTAATCTAGAGTAATCTAGAATCCTAGACTAAGTATGTAACTGCATAGGCACATTGTACAGTCACTTGCATATCTAATAACTATATAAGTAGGGGAACATACAAAACTGAACTCATTGGAATATTGTGTCAAAGTATAATTTCTCTTGACCCTTGATATTTATAGGGAAACTAGATAAACATTAAAGATACTGAGGTTTCATATTGGTGTAAGACATCCTCCAGCTGGATGGAGTGACGATATCCGTGAGTTAGCTGCCAGTGGTTGGATGCAAAGAGCTGAAGATGGAGAGGCTTTTTATTTATAAGTCGAGCCCAACTTTAGATATTTTAAGGGCAGCGGGGTTATTATGACGTCCTAAAATCAGAATGGTTCCATTCTTAAGAAAGGAAAAGGAAGGAGGGGAAATCATTCAATGGTTTTCTCCTGCCTGGGTGAAGTGAGAGGCACTGACAAAAAACCACTCCGTTCCTACTCTTATTCTTCGAGCCACTCGTTACCTAAGCGACTAGTTAAGTCTTCCGCGGCTCCGTATCAGCAATAGCCCAACAGGCCCCATCTGTGGTGGTCTGATGGCTCTCTGATGCCTTTTTTTTTGTTGACGCCCCCCGTCAACAAAAAAACCTTTCAAAGCTTTTTGGGGAAAAAGACTAGGGAGTGTGGGATTTTTACCTCACTAAAACCTCCCCAGTGGCCACCATCCGCACTTGAAGGCGGCACCGGGTCCTCTTAGTAGACCAACTCCGGAGCCCCCACAGTGCAACGCCTGTTACGGCACCTCCCCATGGAGACTTATGTGTCTCTCCTAGAGCCTCTCTGTACACTGCACGGCGGCACGTGACCACTGTGCCGCCGTCATCCTTGAGGTCATTAGGTGGGCGCCTAGATTCCCCACTCTATGCGCCCATGACCCCAAAGGTTTGCCTACCAATATTGTAGGCAGGAAATCAATATATTAGGCGCCGCGGCGGTTATTTCCTCGACGCCTTCGACGTGTGGGATCGGCCCTCTCACGATCCCGGGCTCTCTGACGCCTATGTCCATTGTCAAACAGTAGACAGAAACGGTCTGATGATGACGATGATAACAAAATCTATTAGCATACCATATTTATTTCTGTAGCTATTACTAAGTACTAGTCTAATCTAGTACCCAAATAATAAAGATTTATTAACAAAGTAGCAATGGAAACAGCTGACTGTAGTAGATCAAGTCTGACAAGTGCAAAACAATTACGGCGACTACGCGATTAGTCGTTCATATGATTATCGTGAGGATAATCGCAGAGTCTGGCGACAATCTTGTGCGTCAATCAGGCCTCGATATAGTATGTTGTTATGTGTCGTTAGTGAAACAGCTAGCTTGTATGGTTGG